CAAATAGGGACCTAGCCTGCAACCCAGGCATGTGCCCTGACTGGGAACTGAACCAGCGACCCTTTGGTTCGCAGGCCAGCACTCAATCTAATAAACCACACCAGCCAGGGCAGATACAATCTTTTCAATAAAATCTTATGTGACCTTTTTACCAATTATTTCATACTGACATATTTGATTTTTACTACTTTGAGTCCTTTCCCACAGGAGTTCATAAGCTCCTGGAGGGCAGGGACGGAGTCATGGACCTGTTTTCCCCATGACTCAGCGAAGTATTTTATGCACAGCACGTTCTGATGTTTGATGAATAATAAATGAATAAAGAGGTAACCTGTGAGGTCTTTCTAACAGCCACTGCCCTGATTTTGTTTGTAAAATAAGGCCCCAAAAGGTTAGCTCATGGTCACTCATTAAAAACAGACAGAGTCCCATGCTAACCATGGGTCCTTTCTTTTTCCTAACTCACGGCTCTTCTCGGTTTTGCATTTTCAAGTGTTTTTGCTGACATTCTCTCATATGCGGACTTCACAGCAGCTGAATTTCCACTCTACCTTGATGGTCTTTAATCCCAGCTTCTCACAAGATTATGTTTCAGACTGAACAATCCCATTTTCTTTAGAGTCAGCCCTCACATACAAAACCATCCACTTCCTCAACAAGTTCTTTCTCTGAACAGATCTCTAATTCTACAGTGTATATGTTGAGGTTTCCTACTTGAAATAAATCAGGCATAACCAGAAGCTAGTTTTATTCCTGAATAAGAAAAAAGACCATTTCAAACATACTTCCTGATGATGCTCAGCATTATGGGGGATGTTTTTTATTTTTTATTTTTTTGGCTGCACATTATTCTATCCAGTGCCTTCAGGGAAAAATAGAGAGGTTCTAGACTTCTTTCCTGGGTGCAATCAAACAACCCACATGTACAAGAAAATACTTTAGTAACTTAAATCCAATTATGTCTTAAAACATTTCTTTAAAAAATTTAATAACTCAGAAGCTTTAGAATTTTTAAAAAATTATAGACTGTCAGATCAGACAAGACTTTAGAAATCACTAAATCTAAATATCTTAATTTACAGATGAGAAAGATAAGACTTATGTGATTTACAAAAGGACCAACTAGTTTTCATAATTCACGTTGACCTCAAAGCGGATATTATACTGATGTGTCCTATCTAGAAGCCAGGCACTGTACTGAGGCCCAAGTCTCCATAAGTATGCTAGCAGACAATGAATTCAATCAATCTAAATCAATGAGGTTTTTTTTGAAATGAAACAGATACATCAGAAGAATCAGATAAAATTCCTTAATAACTGCTAAACACCTTCTTATGTTTCCTACAAAGAAAGCTCTCTTTCCCTCTAGGGAGACAGCCCACTATATAGGTTAAGAATACTGACTCTGGGTCTAGTATGCACAATTTAGAATTCTTTTTTTCTTTTTTAAGATTTTATTTATTTATTTTTAGAGAGGGAAGGGAGGGAGAGAGAGAGAGAGAAACATCAATGTGCAGTTGCTGGGGGTCATGGCCTGCAACCCAGGCATGTACCCTGACTGGGAATCGAACCTGTGACACTTTGGTTTGCAGCCCATGCTCAATCCACTGAGCTACGCTAGCCAGGGCTTACAATTTAGAATGCTTATGTTATCTCTTTCTGGCTGTGCAACCCCACCACAATTTACTTAACAGTTCTATGTCCATTTCCTGATGACTACAGGAATAATCAGAGTATGTAAACAATCTTACATGGCTAGTAGATGTAATTGTTCTAATGAATATTAGTTATGATTATTATTTCTCTTATATGGGGCTTTCTTATCAAAACAGGGAAGTTACCAAGATATGATGAAAGTGTCCTTAAAAGCAGCTATTAAAATATAATTACATGCCATGACTGGTGTGGCTCAGCGGGTTGAACGTCGACTTGCAGAACCGAAAGGTCACGGGATCAATTCCCAGTCAGGGCAATTGTGGTCCAGGTCCATGGTTGGGGGCTCATGAGAGGCAACGAATCAATGTTTCTTTCTCCTGCTCTTTCTCCCTCCCTTCCTCCCTCTCTAAAAATAAAGAAAATCTTTAAAAAAAATATATATATATATATATATATAAAATTACAATCACTGTAGTAAAAACTGATTTAATATAAAGGGTAAAGACAGAAAAATAGTTCCTAAAAGGACAATTTATGAGTTAAATTCTACTTAAAATACATGCATGCATACACAGAAAACATGCAGGAAAAGTTTTGCCTTTAATGTTAAAAACACATTTTACCGAAGTTCATTCTCAATGATTAAACACTAATGTCATAGTGTTTTGGGGTTTCACTAGAGGTCAGGCCTAGGTAGTTAACACAAATGCCATGGCCAGAGTGGGGTCCCTTATAAGCTATATCCTACAATTTCAACAAATATGTGGATTTCAATTTCACTCAAAGACAGCCCTTTTAAAAAGCTGTTCAGTAGAATACAAGTTATTCAGAAGAGTACATAGCACTCTCCCTTTCAGGAACTAACAGAACACAGGATCTTTATAGCTATGTGACCTTGGAAAACTCTCTTAAAAGGTCTATAAAATTCACTACCTCATCCAAAAACTGGTGCTAACATCTATTTCCCAGGTTTGAGTTGGGGAAGGAGGATGAGGAGATAACTAAGATTTATATGAAAATGCTAGTCCTGACCCTTTCTTCCCATAGGCAATGGGAGAGGAGGCCAAAGAACAAGCTAAGGTTAAACTACAATTTATGTCTGGGGTACATTAAGCTTTGATCATCATTCCTATTCTAGGAATGTTTCTGGAAATGTAACACCTTGTTATAGTCTCAGATTTGGTTTGTAATATTGGCCTCCAGAAATCACCATAATCCATGCAAGGCATACTAGGGCCAACCATCCTCCTGCCTAGCAGCTTCAAAGTCGTAACAAAGAAAACCACAACCCCTATTTATGTATTTATTCCCTCAACCAGCATAGACTGAATTCAGCCATAACATGTGATGGCAAAATGTCTTTAAGAAATCTTTAGAGGTATTTTAGAAAATTAATCCTATTTATATAATCAGTATAAAAATCTGCTATTAGCTCCTTCCAAAGCTGAAAAGGACTGATGAACATCCCAATAGTCATCAAATAAAACATTTTAGTTTCAAGCTTGTATAACTTGATACTGAATGGAGCTTTATGAACTATTAAGGTCGTAAGAAGAGAAATTTAATCTATCCTAAGTATGAAGGAATGGAAGAGTTTGAGGCCTCTAAGTACACTCAGTCACATACACTGATCCAGAGTCAAAAGCAGGTTTTTAAAAAAGTATGCTTAAGAAAAAGAAGAAAAAAAAAACAGTACAACTTCAGCAAATTAGAAACATCAAGAAATGAACAAAACTGTCACTTTTGTTTCACTACAAACAGAACCATCTAAGTAATATCTGATACACAGGAGTAACTGTAAGGAATTTACACAATGAAAACAAAATTCAGAAATCTTATCTTTACAATGGCAATATTTGAAAAGAAATCTTATTTAACTTAATTAAAATATAAAACACTTCAATGAGGGCACCTTGTCTTAAGTCCACTCAAATTTACTGCTCAATAGTAACTTGTTTAATAAATTTCAAACATTTTCTGGAATTTTTTTGCCTTTGGGTACTAATCTATCCTTGCCTATAAATATCACTGATGTAGGCACTAAATCAATTTTTAAAAAGAAAGCGCTGATCAAGTATTTTCTAATCCAGGTAAGTCAAATCCACCATAAAAAGTCACTGTGCTGTTATCACTGGACTCTAGTTGATGGGCATTATTTCTATAATAGCCAATTTAAAGACGAAGAAAATGAGGTTTACAGATGTAAAGGAACTTGCTTAGGATCACCAGGCTAGTGTGTGATAGGGCCATGACTGAACCCAGATTAATTTGCAGAGGACACTTTCAATCACATTAAAAACAAAGGTAAACACTAATTTTCAACTAGCTCTATGTATCTTTAATAATGTCAAGAATCACATTCTAGCTTGGCAGTTTATGAAAAACACATCGTTTGTTTCTTTCTAAACATGCCTATTAAAAGCAGATCCTGTCAAATAGATTTGGCTTGTTTTCTATTTTTAGATGCACATAGCAAAAAGTCTTGAGATATCAATACTAAAATTTTATATTTCAACCATTATCTTGTAAGCCAAACTGCAGTAGCTCATATTTAAATAGGAAAGAAATACCTCGTGTAAATGACTCAGGAACTAAGTCTGCATAAATATGAACCTGTGAATTGTCCCATGCTGTCCTCTGCCCCACCCTCAAAATCAGTAAAAGAACAATACAAAACTTCCAGAGCAGAAAATGTATAGAACCACCAGAATAGAGACAGTAGACCATTCTCCTTATTACATCCATTTGGCCCAAAGGACTGAACTAGAAAGGTGTTCTACTGTCCTTTATAAATTTCAGGATTATAAGTGACAGTTAAAAAGGCAGCTGCAGCACAAGTCCATTGTACATTAAAAAAGCTGAATCAAGTAAGAACATTTATCACGACTACCAGGTCTCATTTCTAGCTTCTTTGTCAATTATACGAAGAGTAAGCTATTAAATATTAATGGATGCCATTTGCACTGGAGTTCTTGAGAAAGAGCCTCCTGTTACCAATTTTCGTTATGAAAGAAAAAACGTCCTTATTTTCTAGGTAAACCCCAAGCCACTGGAATCCCTCGGATGGGCTATCATATTTTGTCCTTGCCAGGGGAGATTGTCAGGGCCTCCCGACAACCAGGGGAGGAGGGACAGCTCTGGAAAGGGTAGGTCCCAGCAGGTCCCCGGGCAACTGTCCCGGTTCCCCTTCTCCCCCAGCTGTCAGCGACAGGTCGAGCCGCGGAGCGGGGCGGGGCCAGGGTCCGCAGTCCGCACAAAGCGAGCGGGCGATCGCCTGGCGGACCGGACTCCGGCTGGGTAGGGGCCGGGCGGGACAGGGTGCATCGAGATGGGGGCACACTTACCCAGCAGCAGTACGTTCTTCCCCGCGGGAAGCTTGGATCGCGAGCGGGTGGAGACCTCGCTGAGGATGCAGGACCTAGCGGGGAGCAAGGCGCACGCTGAGGCCGGGAGCCGGGGCCGCAGCGCCGGAGGGATGGGCACGGCCTCGGCGCGCCTGGGCGGGGGCTGAGGCCCGGTGCCGAGCTCCGGCGCGCACAGATCCCGAGGCGGCCGCAGGGCCGGGAGTGCTAGCGGGGACCCAGGGAGGGGTGGGGTTGTTACCAAAGGTTCTGCCCGTCCTCGTCGTCGCCTGCTGCAGCGCCACCGTTGCCCGATGTTAGCTCGTTGGCCAAGGAGCCGCCAGTGTAAGTCGAGGCTAATCCCGGCGGAGAAGAGCCGTAGGAATTGACTCGTCCTACAGCCGCCATTTTGGTCGGGAATCACAACACTCCCCGCAAAGCTGAATGAGCGAGGCGGTGGCTGCGGCGGCGGCGGCAGCAGCGGCGGGAACCCGGATATGGAGCTCTCCGCGCACGGGGAGCGAGGCGGAGCCTGTGGGGGCGGAGCCCCGGGCCCTGCGGGGACTGACGGAGCGTGCGAGCAGGGACTGCGCGTGCGCTGCAGACTGGCGGGCGACTAGGGGATGCGCGTGCGCGATGGGCTGGGTAGGCTGATCTGCAACCTCGGCTCAGCTGAGCTCAGCGCGTTAAACTGCCTCCTGTCGCCCCACCCGTAAACCAGGGCTGCAGCAGAGCGGATTGGGGTGTGTTAGGTGAACGGTGCCCCCTCCCAATCTTGGGTCAGGTCCACAAATCCCGCAGTCGGCGTGCGTGGAATTCCTGCGCTGTCCTGGCCGTTCCACCACCATTCAAGCTGAGCGCCGGTCCCGCGCCTCCGGTACTTCACCGGCGCCTAGATGGAAATGGGCCGCTCCGCTGCTAAAGAGGCCGTTGTGGCGACGTTCCTCAAACCTTTGTCCCCTATTAGAAGCAGGTTTCCCCAGCTCCTAAGCAGCTGCGAGACAAAAGAATGTTGACAGGGCTTGTTTTAACGGTCAGGATTTTTATATGAGAAGCTCCGTATGAGATTCGAAAAGCCCCACTAGGTGAGTCGTTCAGTCAATAGCCCTTTCTTCAACACTTGAAATGATAGGCACAGTTGGTATTGAGAATACACAGATGAAAAAGAAGTAACCTAAAATAGCCCTAAATAACCCCCTGTCAGAACTTTTACTGGTTAAGTATATTTGAATGTCTGAGCCCAATGTCCTGAAAAAGTTGTCGGTTTTAAGCCTCTATCTTAATACACGGTGTAAGAGCAGTTGCTTAAAATAGTCTGGTCTTTGTACGTCATCACTGTCAACTCGTATTTGAAGATCACTTGATAATATATGACCTCATCAGTGCTGTTAGGCTAGTAAGAAAATCCACAGCTAAATACTGTGCTTGCTATACATTAACATTGCAGTTAGAAGCTAAAAGGCTTTGGAAGCCAGCAAATCTGTTGCTGGATATGTAACCTTACACAATTTCCTTAACCTCACTGAGTCTCAGTTTCCTTAGCTGTACAATGGGGATTAAAGGATCTAGAATTATTATGAAGATTAAATGGGGTGATTCATGTAAATAGCTTAGAACAGTAACTGCTTTTAAGTGCTTATTATCAATGACTGATGTTTTTGCTTTACCTTTCAAACCGTTAATATCTGACCAACCCCCGGAATTGGTGGGCTTAACGAATTCCTGCAACTAAAACTCTTCATTTTTTTTTTTGTTTGTATGATTAGGAAAGGAACCAGGACCTTGTCTTGGGAGCCCAGGTTTTCTATGGTGACAAGTAGGATGGAGACTCCCAGGAGAATCTGGGATTTAAGTCACTGCTGTACAGGAAAACTGTGTACAGCCCTGGGCCCCTCAGAGTCAATTCACAATCTGTACAGTTGAGCACCCCTTCTGGACATCCTGCATGAGGCTCTCAGGGCACCATGTTGTCTTGGAGTTTTTTCCCTGCCTCACTAGCTGCTCCTTCTCAGTCTCCTTTACCATTTCCTCATTTTCCTGACCAATTAAGTTTAAAGGACTCCAGAGCTCAGTCTTTGTTCTTCCTCTTTATCTACACTTCCTATCTTGGTGATCTCATCTAGTCATGTTACTTTAAACTCCATCTGTATGCTAAAACTCCCAAATGTATTTATTTTTCCTTTTTATTACATTTGTTGGGGTGACACTGGTTAACAAAATTATAAGGTTTCAGGTGCACAATTCTACAACACATCATCTGTACACTGTATTGTATGTTTACCACCCCAAGTCAAGTCTCCATCAAAAGTCCCAAATTTCTCTTTCCAGCCCAGACCTCTACCTGGAACTCCAGGTGAGTATATCCAACTGCTTATTCCACATCTCCTGATAGCATGCTCCAAATTGAACTTCTGGCCTTTCCCTGCAAAAGCTCCTTTACCTACTGCCTTTTCCACTAGGTAGCTGCTCTTTGTTGCCTGAGTCTTTCTTGACTTCTCTATTTCTCTCCCACCCCACATAGAATCCATTTGGAATCCTGTAGCCTCTACCTTCAAAATAGACCCACAATCCAAGTTATCATACATCCACTAATACCACCTTGGTCTGAGCTATCATCTCTCGCCTATATTACTCTAAAAGCTTCATCAACATGGCAGCTTGAAGAATCTTTAAAAAATTGTAAGCCAGATCATGTAACTCCTCTACTCAAAACCTACAGTAGCTCCTCTTAAAAAAAAAAAAAAGATTTTATTTTTAGAGAGAGGGGAAGGGAGGAAGAAAGAGACGGGGAGAAACATCAGTGTGTGGTTGCCCCTCATGGGCCCCCTACTGCGGACCTGGCCTGCAAACCAGGCATGTGCCCTGACTAGGAACCGAACTGGTGACCTTTCGATTTTCAGGCCAGCACTCAATTCACTGAGCCATACCAGCCAGGGCAGTAGCTCCTCATTTTAATCAGAGTAAACAGTAAAGTACTTACAATGACTGATAAGGCTGTACACACATCTGGACCAATTTCCTTTCTAATCTTTTCTGCTCCACTCTCTCCTTTGATTTCTCCCATCCAGCAACATTGACCACCCTCTACTGTTGTTCTTTAAATATGTTGTGTTTTTCTTTGCTCTAGCTGTTCCCTGTGCCTTGAAAGAGGTCAGGAGCTGTCCATGCTCACATCTTTCCCCAGATGTCCAATTGGCTAACTCTCCTCCTGCAACATCTTTGCTCAGTTCTCAGCTTCTTCATGAGGTTACCCTGACAACCCATTTAACACTGCAACTTGAACCTTCATCCCTGGAATTCCAGATTCTTCAGATCCTGCTTGCCTTTTTGTTTTCTGTAATATTTATTGCCTTCTAACATATTATAAAATGTACTTATTATTGCCTTCTAATATAATATAGAATTTACTTATTTATTAGAACTTAAGCTCTGTGAGGGCTTCACCAATATACCCCAAGTACTTTGTTCCTGGAACATAGCAGTAATATGTTGTTGAAGGTATGAATGAATGAATGCATTTACAACTTGTCACCAGGGTTCTAAAATTGCGTTATGACAATGATAAGGTTGGTGATGATGCCTGTGTGTATGTGTGTGTATGTGTGTGTGTTTTAAGGGAAGTGGGTACAAAATTCTTCAACACCTGAAAGCAGGAGCTCTCATTTACAATATTTTAACCATTTTTGATATAAACCCTTTTAAAATACATTAAACATTCTGTTGCTACTTTAACTGGTTATGTGAGTATAGATTTACTTTTAATTGGAGGCTCTGGGCTTCCTGAGGTTCATCAATAGTAGTGCCTTGCTAGTAGTGTCATAAAGGAGTGCTTAGATCTTACTGGGAAGCCCAGGGGTGTACCCTAGATGTCTTTTTCAGTTTTCTTTCTCATTCAGCTAAGCCTCAGGGCCTGGATGTGGGGAATGGAACAGTAATCCGAAGAGAGATAGCTCCTTCTCTCTCCAGCTTTCTATCTACTGGGAGATTTGTATCTTTCTTCCCTCTCAGCCGACCATCATCCTCTGCTTACTCATCAGCTTCCTGAAAGCCACAGTTGAGTATTTCTTTATCTCAAGAAAAGTCATCATTTGGTAGGCATAGGAGCTTTGCAGAAAACTGGTTTGGGAGGGGAATCTTTGCAGGGCTGAGATGGGGGATACAGACTACCCCCTCTTTCTATTGGGGCTAGCTCCCTCTGTGTTTGAGAACTGGAACAAGGCAGCCATCTCTGGAGCTTCTTTCAGTTGTACCAGCTCGCACAGGCTGCCTCCAGCAGATTTTCAGATAAGACTTCACCCACTGTGCCAAATGCTGGCAGTCACAGTTGATATAAATGCCAGCTGAAACACCAAAACCAAAGGAAAAGGAAATAAGCAAGGAGATGAGTAGACCCTTAAAATTTGACACTATGAGCGACTCAAATAATAAAATAATGTCGGAAAGAATTTCAGAAGCTAAATAGTTCTCTGCCCTACACAGTATATGAACTTTGGGGGGTAACATTCCTGACATTTGAGACATAACTGTAATGTTAGAATTGGCAGAGTCCTTGCTTACAACCTTTCCCAGCAGGAGATGTGGGGATCCAATTAGAGGGAAGACAGACTCCCCATGTTGCTTCTTTTTGCTTTCCTTGTAGTCATGTTTACCTTGTTCTAAGTATCTCCTCAGAATGAATGACATGACACCATGCTGTCCCCTTGAAATTAATACAAAACAATATTGACTGTAAATTGTAATTTAAATTCTTTTTTAAAAGAAGGAATGAAATGATGGGTATCTAATTGATTTTCAGTCCTCAGTTCCTTTAATTACAGACCTAACCGCCTACTCCTCACCAAGTAATCTTATAGAACTTCGTATCTTAGACCAAAAAAGAGATGTAGAACTACCTGGCACATAGGGATAGCAACAGACTTTCTTGGTGTTTTTTTTTCCCCTTTCATAGGAAACAGTAGAAAGAAAATCTCTATTTGTAGAACCAAAATGAAATTCACCCCCTTCTTAAAAAATCAATGCCTGTGTTATATATATGTGTGTGTGTTTGTGTGCAAGCATACTTTCTAGTTAAATTTTACAAAGAAAAAAAACTTGATTTGCTCAAATATACATCATTGAAAAACAGTGTATTCTTCATTGTTTTGGATAAGATAGTAATTCGAATTGTCTCTTTATTTCAGACTGAGTCCCTTACCACATTATAAATAATTCATTCCTGGAATCTATGTGATGGAAGAAAGGGTAACAACCTATAAATCGATTCCCATTCGCAGTTGCTTGAGTAGACAACCAGCAAAATGCACAGGGAGAACAAAGAGATTATCTTTTAGGCTAGAGGAATATTTATTCTTCATTGAAGTGTTTTCATTATCTACTTACACATTTTAAAATACAGTATAGACAGAATTTTTAGAATGCTTAGTGTCACCATTGTTTAAAAGTATGGTTTTTTTATTACCACTGAAAAGAAGAAAAAGGTTCACTGGTTAATGTATTGTTAGCTGGGTATTTATTACACATATTCTTGGAGGCTCTCA